CTTTAGAAACTTTGCATTCTTATCCCTAAAGATATTTCTACACTATTCTAAGCCGATTTTCCGCTTTTAATAGTAATTTAGATAGGCCTTGTATTCTATTATTATTATGTTCTCTCCGGTTACTTTTCCATCGTGATTTTAAGTGCACTATCTGTTTCCAATATCGTCAGGGATACTGATTAGGCCTAAGCGAGTTATTTTTCGCGAAATAGACTTATTTTTTGCTCTTGGGAAACTTAGCCAGGAAGCCTTGGATCATAAAGGCATTTAAGAGTACCGTTTTTATAAAATCTCTTTCAAATTTATCTAATTGAAATACTTACATTTGATCTTTAAGTTCTATGATTTTGTCATTAACATCAAAATCATAGCAATACTTTCCAACAACAAATGTATGCATAAATACTATGGAATGACATGCAATCATGTACTGTTCCGATTATTGATTGCTTTATCTAGACGAAACTACTTTTTGCTTTTTATATTTTCTCTAATTTTATTGGAATAATAATAATAATAATTTATTTTTAAGATTTAGTTAACTCGATCAATTATCTTAACTTCTTTTCTATCCTGTCGCTTTCTACAGACCCCTTCGTCCTAAGCGTGCTGGTGCGATGGATAGTGGAGGAGATAGTGATGGCGCGGGTGATTCAGATACTGGTGGGATTAATAGCAGCGGGGCCGCGGAAGAGGGCCCAAATGGTCTTGTCGGCTGCAGAGGATTGCGTGCAAGTGCAGCCAACAGATCTTATGTTGGTATGGACGTAGAAGGAGAAGGAGATTCGGATGCTTTTGATGGAGAAAACGGCACGGGCGGTCTTGGCAGTGGTGATGATGTCTCTGGTAGTGGGAATCGGCGTCGAAGAAAACCAAATGATGACGATGAACCATTTGAGAGTAATTTTTAGCATAATTATGATAATCTTTTTATTTAAACAGACGGGCTGGCGTATAATTTCTGGTCACTTTGTAAATTACTTTGGTAAACCCTATTAATATCCACTTGTTATGACTAATGAGCAGTTTTTGTTTCCGGCAGACTTAATAAATGAATCATTGGTATTTGTTTTTACTGTTGGAGTTTTATCTTTGGAGTAAGCTTGCTCCGGTCAATAATTGTTTACTTACACTTAGATTAGTGCTGACTATATCCCTTTCTTTTGCTTTTCAGTACGGCTCAAAGAACCTGCTGAAGCTCGATTTCCACATCTAATGCGTAAGACCTCAGAAGCGACTCGTCGGCGACGAGAGCGCGTCGGGTTTGGCGTGTCACGTGGTCCGAATGGTCCTAGCTCGACTAAACCATATCGACAGACTGATGGTATGGCTGCTAATGAGGCAGCTGAGGCAGGCAGCTTAAAGCGTTTTGTACATCGTCTTGATTGTCTACTTGAAAATGAAGATCTAGACCTCAAGTTCCCAGTCACATCTGATGGAGCACTTAAGGTTAGCTATAGC